CCTCTTTTTGGACACAGACATCCAGGGTATGAAACAATAATGCAGTTTAGTGATAACTCATGGTGAGGATGAAGAAGATGGTGCTGTGGAAAGAAGATCTAAGAAGACTGCTTGCCTGCAAATTCAGTTCGATTCTTGTAGATATAAAGCATACATAATTAGTGTCAGATCACGAAGCTTAGAAAAACTCTCAGTGTATATCCTTACTGAAATTTCTGAGCGGATTTAGTTCAGTTACTGAGTTTTTTGTGGCTCGCGGTCCTGATTTTGGGTTGAGCATCGGTACCTATCTCCTGCAGGTTACTCGTAGAGCCAAGACGTCGTCTGTGTGAGGTGCACGCCACCAGTGGCACCGTGGCACCATGTGCAGAGAGATTTTTAGCCTCGTCACGCCGCGCAAACGAACGCACAAAGGTCGTTTAAATCACACAACCCCCTCTCAAATACTAAGTTCCTGCATTGCTGAAGTTAAGAGATGATATATCTTCCATTTTATGTATTTAGTTTAAAGTAGTAACTAGTATATATGATTGATTATCTATGATAATATTACCATGCTTGATGCATTGCAAGACCGGCAGCCCATGCATCGCTATTACTCAGACCTTGTCTATTTGCAAGCCCCGCTTTATCCTTATCCAGTCAGGGGAGGATACGTTAATTGAAAAAACTGGTATTATTCCACAAAGGCATAAATTTTTTTACGAAAAAGAATTGTAAGTGAATACCAGCGTGAAGAATGAGACGCTCCATAGAGCATCCACACCTTCTCGAGCTATATCTGACAGTCACGCCTATCCATCCTTTCATTCTCGTGGCAGCAATCAAATTCGTTCAGTGGTAAAAAATTTCAATAGTGTTTAGCTTTAAAAATGTCGTCTTACGTTTGACGTTAATTGCAATGATATCATCTTAAAATTATATAAAGAAATAAAATACAAAATTCACTGTCTAATAACATAGAGCTTATTGAGTTTGATACTTAAGTGAGAAGAGATACATCAATCAACGTTGGAAGATTAGGAGCGTCTGGGATAGAGCAACTGAACGCTTAAATACATTTTTATATATGATTAGCACTCTCATGACTTTCTATGCACAGATACTAGAATGGGCCTAACTTCCGTAAGAGCACGTTCTGGCGATGAAGGTTCGCTGTTATTATTTTCGTGCTCATCGCCATCGACTATAACATCAGGCTTCCATTTTCGGAGCATCTGAGGCTCATCGTTTGTTCCCTTTCTAGTCTTCAACTGCGACTTGATTTTGCTAAGAGACGCGGCATCGAAAGGAACCGCTGATCTACTCGAAGCCGATTTTTTTTCAGCTGATGTAGCTGAAGAGTTTATGCGCTTTGTCGAACTCGGACTCGGAATACCTGTAGGTAGACCCCCTATAATCTTTTTTAAGGGTGAAGTAGGAACGGTATGTAGAGCTGGAGGTTTAAGCAAAGCTTTCGCAAACTTGGGTTCAGAAGTAGAGGATTTTGCACATCGAAGTCCAACTTTCTCTTCGACCACTGTTTCCGCAATTACAGACACATCAACATTCATTTTGTTTGCAGTAGATAGAATATCTTTTGTCAGGATTGGTACCAATGCGACACGAGATGTAGCAGTCGACAAATTGTTAAGAGATCCTGATGTAGACAAAAGGGCGTCTGTGGTCTGCGATATGACGATATTGGGAGTTGCTGGAATGCTCTTCTGTCGAAAGTTACCAGAAATTTCAGATCCTGTTTTCCCAGTGAATTTCATGCGATCATTAGAGCTTTTGCGAGGTGTTGCACATTTCAGTTCCTGCTGTTTTAATCGCTTTTCTTCTCGAATTCGTTTTGATTCATTTTCACGGTCTGCTTTGATAAGCGATATTGTAAATTCATAGATAATGCTGAAGAACTCGCTAGCCCCCAATAATGTTGCCGATGTTATCGGGACATTAAGTGCAGCAACCTCTTCATTTTCGCTCTTGTCAAAGCGTAAAATAGTGTATTGCACCAACCGCAATGTCTTGTCTAATTCTGTTCTTAAGGTTGCGACCTCTTGCAAAGCTTCATCTACAAAAGAAGACATCGTCTCAACAAACAGATCACTTTCTTCCTTCTGCTCGATTCTATTTTTAAGACGTTGAGCGGCTAATTCAACGTTGATGCTTTCGGAAATGTCGTTTATCTTGTTCATGTCACCTTGAAGCTCCGATATCGAAATACTTTGAACATCATACAGAGACGCCAACGAGTCTCCCAATCGCGATACATCGCTTCTCTTCAACCGTACCATTCTTGCGACATAGTGTAGGAGAGTGATTGACTTATCGACTGACTTGAGCTGTACCAGCTTTGTAAGATCATTGAGTCGAAATCCCTTTGCTCCTCCACGAGCAGTGTCATGATTCATTTTGTTTCCAACTTGTAAAATTACGAGCAAAATCGCCTTCAGCTCTGTGCTTTGAGCAACATCGTGACTGGCAATACGTATTTTGTTGATCTTTGTCCGTAGATCACGTACAAGCGCCGGAAATTGGTGCTTTGTTTCTAGAGCTGAAAGTCGTTGCTTCAATCGAGGGACAGTTATAAGTTCTTTAAGAACAAGTTCTGCTCCGTTAAGCGTGGATGGGTCTCCAGTGAAGCCCGAAATTGACACGATTTCATCCTCAGTCGGTAACATCTTTGTTAGTCCGTGGACACGATCGAGAGTCAATACTTCGGAATCCATCCTCATGATAGCCATTCGCAAAGCCGCGTTGCTCATTTTGAACTGCTTGATAATAATAGAGATATTATTGGATCGTGCTCTGTCAATCAAAAATACAATCTTGGGTGAGGCGAGGGGAGAAGCAGGACTGTCCGGAGACAAAAATCCACTTCCAACTCCACGTCGAGTACCGGTCCCTGGGCCACAAGCAGCAGGTGGAGGGAACTCGGTCTCTAGAACTTTCAAATCGCTTTCAGTTAATTTGACGAAATCTTGATTGGTCTGATTACTGTGCTCCTTGTCGAGCTCCTCCCAAATCGTCCCTTTGATTGCATTTGCGTTCAAGTGCTGCCAATAGAATGCGCGCGTCTTGGCCATAAGAGCAGGCTTAATTGCTATCGAAAGATGCGCTCTACGTGCTGCGGTTGTCATAGGAGGTGGTGAAGCTGTTTGAACAACTGGAGTTCTTATAGGCAAGAAGGCATCAGGTGTATCAAGAAATTCTTCTTTGAGACCCGCCATCCTCATCTTTGCCTTAACGCTCTCAACTGGTGCTCCCATTGCAAGCAGCTTAAAAAACTTGGTGTATTCAGGGTCATCTTTAACCTTTACACGAGCCAGTCCAGCGGACTTAATATCTTCGTTGGGTACACTAGCATCAGGTGTATCAAGAAGATCTGGCTTCAGCCCTGCCATTTGCATCTTTGCTTTCACAGATTCCACAGGAGCACCCATTTCAAGAAGCTTGAAAAATTTGGTATACGACGGATCGTCCTTCACTTTAAGAAGAGGCTGGGACAAAGGCACATCAGTCGCTGACTTAAATGTAGCTTCAGGTGTGTCTAAAAGTTCTGGCTGAAGTCCTGCCATCTGCATCTTTGCTTTTACAGAGTCATAAGGAGCCCCCATGGATAAAAGTTTGAAGAACTTTGCATACTGTGGCTCGTCTTTTACTCTTATATAATATTCGCTCCGAGACTTTGCGTGACTTGCATGCGCAGTCGAGAGTGTCGCATGAGAACTTCGATCTTTTGCCTGTAATGATGTCCGAAATGCATCATTGGGCACGTCGGCGTCTGGTGTATCTAAAAGGTTGCTATTCAGACCAGCTTGAGCCATTTTCGCCTTGACAGCAGCGATAGGTGCCCCCATTGAAAGAAGCTTGAAGAACTTGGCGTAAACACGATCATCCTTAACTCTTAGTTTTGAGGATGTTCTGGACGGAAATCTCCCAGCTAATGGGGTACTGAAAAAACTCTTTTGAATGTCTCCTTCAACATAAGTAGTAATATCTGGACAGGTAGGTGATTTCTGTGGAGATGACAAAGCAGATGGATGATCATTGGTCCGTACTGATGCCACACTCGGACCCGCTAGAGTCGACGTCGACTTAGATTCAAATTTTGCCATATCATCTTCAAATGAAGCTTCAGGAGCCTCGGACATGTCGAGTGTGATTACTTTAGACGGCACCAATTCTCGTGATGCCTTCGGGGAACGGCCATGCTGCCCCTTAAGAAAGTCTGAACTCAAATTAACGTGCTCCATTTTCAAACCATCAGCCGCTCGAGGTGCTCCCATAGGCAAAAGTTCTTGAGGCTCGACAACATCACCTTTGAAATCGGATGTGTCCGGTGTAGTATCATTCGACATGGAGTTCGGTTTGATAGCCAATGACTTAGTTACAGTCACAGATGACTTGGCTGCTGCATTGCCGAAAAGAGGTAAGTTAGAAGCAAGAGGGAGATCCGCGACAGGATCAAGTGGTGCAGCTGCTGAGTAATCATTTGCGAGGGATGAAGCTGGATGCATATCGTTTTCCGGCAGAAATGAAGGAAATACAGGCCGTTTTGCATCTTTTCGAACGCTGGCAGTAGCGACTGGTGTGCAGGCTGGTGTGATACCAACTCCCGGTCTGTTTCCAGTGCTTTGAAAAAGTGGAAGTGTCAACTTGGCATTCCTTGCAGATGTTTGATCTGTCGATCGTATCGCACTGTCAGCTCCTAAAAAGCTCGAAAGTGATGGTCTTGAAACAGAGCTTTTCGCTGGAGTTAAAGAGATCAGAGATGGAATTGAAAAATCACCAAACCCTGAAAAGAAAGATGGTCGTCCAGAAGTCGGAGGTTTAACAATAGACGTTGATGGCTCGTTAAAGCTTGGAAACAAAGTCATACTTACGCGCGTGAGGAAATCAGGCTCACTCTCGGTTTTAACATCAATAGTTGGCTCTTTCGATTCGTCTGAGAATAAACTTGGGACCAGGCGATGAACACTTTTACTTGCTTGAGATTCGTCGGAAAGACTTACAACGAGTTTTTGCAAAATAGTAACTAGCTTTTCATTAGAGCTGCGGTCTAAAGTCTTCGTTCGTTGATGAAGCTGCTCCAAAATATCATCAAGCGAAGATGCATGTTCGGATGATACAACGATTGGCATTCGATTGTCAGTCTCTATGCATCCATTTTCATCAATAGCTGAAAAAGTTGTACTTTTGTCAACCAGTTCTTCCATTTCAGGCCGTGCAAATATGCTAACATCATCATTTTCGCCTTGGTTGCTTGTCAAATCAGTTTTCCTTACAGTATCACTGCTGTGCAATCCGTCGCCGAGCGATAATTGTAAAGGCTCAGGATTGTCTCCTCCCACAACTTCGTCGTAATTTTTACGAAATAATGTTACTTGAGCTTCCAATGATGTGGTAATGAGTTCATTGTCGTCCTTATGACTATGATACGGTTTCAAAAATGCGAAGATCCCGTTGATCTTCAGATCTTGGCACATTTCGGCTCGCGTCTTCTTGTCCCGCGTAGTGTCCAGCAAAATATTCACAAACTTTAATGTTGCAAGTCTAAGTCCAACGTCCGAATGATTCTGTTGAGGCCCTAAGAAAAGCGACTGAAGCGACATACCTTCAGAGCGATGTAGTGCAAATATGCTCAGTACGGCGTCGTGAGCCATCGTGCCGTCGCGACAAAACATTCCCAGTAATTTCAGCACGCGTATTTTAACGATGTTCGAAGAAGTAGTACGAAAGACCGAGTATAGCATCGGACAGCACTGAGAAATCTTCATAAGAGCTTGAAAAGCAGCACTACTGTTAGCGACAACAAAGAGCGTTGTTATTATATTATTGCAGGCATCATTTGAAGTGCAACCACGGGTCTGCAAAGGTGCCACCAATTCTTCAACTCCGCTCTCTTCGATAAATTTCTCAACCCACATTCTGTATTCAGACGTGATTTAGTCTTGTTTTCGTAACAAGCAATCAAATCGTACCGCGGTCTAATCAAGATATTGACCCGAATTGCAAGAAAAAGGTCATGTGCATACTTTTCACTATTGCGATAACGTTGCAACAGTTCCACGTAGTCACGTGGATCCAGCCAACTTTCTGTGACCTTTTCATCTGAAAGGTTACTCCTAGACCATAAAAATTGTCGTTGATCAACAAAATATTTTTCCTATATCAATCAAAAAACGACTTACAGATAAACATACGCCCACTTGTTTTCAATTGACTCAGCCGAATTTAACTCGTCTCGAAATTCAGTGTTGGTGCTTGCGATAAGCAAAAGTTCATCGAAACGCATCTGAACATAGTCTGTCACGGGGGCTTGTGGTATCTAAATGGACGGACAGCTCTCGTTATTCTTATTTTCACTACATCTATAATTGCAAACGTAGGCACCTCCAAACGTTTGTCTAGGAAACGCAAATGGACACCTTCACTAGAATTTGAGCCACCCATTGTTGCTGAGTCGCTCAAACAGAATTTATATTAAGACGTTCACGAGCGAGCAAGAGAAATAGTTTTTAAAAAGATGAGCCATGCTGAGCCATGTCACAGATTCTTAAAGCACGGGACTACGGGAACAGTTTATTTTTGCAGGTCGAAACCACTATTATGAGTTTTAATTTAGATTCACCACAAACACAAAACTTATTTTGCAGAAAGTGGAGTGTGTTTGGCTCTCACGCGTTTTGCCTTTTTAGACAATTAAGCTCTACGATTACCGTGAAGAAACTACTAACATGGCAATTCGCGTTATAATCAACGTTTAATGCACCTATAAAATAGTTGTGCCACTACATACCATGACACTACAAAAAGGCCGTCACAAATTTGTGGTACAGAAAACAGTCGTTTTGCATTCCAATAAACAAAAATCAAAAGAAAATTTTCTCCAAATATGACAGCAAAATGTATCTGTGACACGATCGGCGTTGTAAAATCCAGCGATTGCTTTTTGGATATTCAGAAGTTCTCATTTTGCCCGTGTTGACGACGCACATCTTTGTAGCTGCACTCGCACTATCCGATAGATCGACAATGGTTTGAGCGGAAATTACGAAGACGACTCTTCATGCTGTTTTCTTTCCTCGTGCCGTTTTCTGCTGGGCATCGTTTTCCCCTTCTCCTCTACTTTTTGCGCTTTTGATTGTCAAATGACCGAGTAAAGATTTAACAAAAATACATGAACTTTGTCCTGAGGCAATTGTACCATATTTGGCGAAATTCCCGTTGATACTCGTGTGTCTTGCGGTGTTTGTATTGTGTCTCAATTTACATCATATTTTAACAGTCACTCTAGCAAATTTCTGCCCGGCAACTTGGTCTGTAAAACTACCAGCATTTTGCCATGATATTCAACAGCTACAGATCTCTTTTCTTGTTGTTTTTGATTAATGTTCTAACACCCAAACCAACGATGTGTCGAGAGCTTAACAGCGTTTAATAAATTCTATCACCATGATGCTCATCCACATGTGCACATGAGATTTGTAGTCACCCGTCTTCACAACCACAATAACTACTTCATGATTGACGATTTCTTGAAAAGTTTTCAGCGCACCCATCGTCTTCGAAAGAAATAGCTTGCCACTTCCACCACGATATCCACAATGCTTTTTCCGCGTTTAATCAATGCTGGTTATTATTTAATCTATTAAACATGTGCCGTCTAACTGTCATTGTCCATTCAAGAACTTGAAATGTCTTCCATTTCTTGCACATATTCTTCAGCTGCAGGCTTGCGCGAAAGATACAATGTGGTGTATGGAATACCAGACTTGCTTTGCACATAGTATTGATGAATTTGCATGAGCAGTGATGTCGCTACTTACGGAACAAAGACAACAACAGCATAAAAGGATAGTGCATGCGATGTAGAACACTTTAAGTCTCGTATGGTTGTATCGACGTGACACAAAGATGTTGGCACCAGTGAGCACAAAAAAATGTAGGATGAATCGTTTTGATAGCGTAGTGTTATTATCGATCTCTTAAAGAACAATTTTGTTGCTTTACGAGGCGATACGCGTAAAGTTCGACCAAGCGGGTGGTTTCCCTAGTGTTCCAAGGGCAAGTACAAGAAATCAATCACTCGCGAATAAAACAGGTGGGGAGGGGCTCTGTCTGCATTAATTATAAAGAATTAACAATATCTGGGTCTACAAATGAGAAAGACCGACTACGAGAAATCAATACGGTACGCGTCATGCAGAAGGTGTCAGACTGTTTATGTTACGAGTAACTGAACATGCTTAAGAACCGATTTATCAAACAGAGAGATAAAAATCGAAGAGTGTACGTGCGACTGCATTTGCGTTTACATTGTCGGGTGTTCTAATTGTCACGTGAAGGCTGAGGTACCGGATAATACATGAGGCCCATCATCGAGATTATTAATGCAGGATCCCTCAAAGATGTAAGAAATTCTTTCAGTTTTTTCACAATTCGTTTTCGGAGCAGATCAAAGTTATCGGGTTATTGAAGAAGCTGTTACAAGTATCACAGTCACCTACATAGTACTTTTTGGATTGAGATGGCGAAGTCTGAGCTTAGTTGATCGTCAAGCTTTGACAAAGGCTCGCGACGTCTCTTGGAGAGTACCCGAATTATGTTGTCCATTATAAAGTCGACAGTCATGTTTCAGATCTGAGCATCGTAGGATGTACTTTTGTTAGAAAATTATCAATAATTCTTGATTTTTATCAAATTAGTTTTTTTAATTGTTGCACACAATCATCATGAGATGGACGTCGTATTTACGTGCGGATGAAGCACTATATGGAAATCGCTATACCGGTTCTAAACGGAATACTTGCTGTGTGATGTGCAGTGAAGAAAATAATTTTTGACGAAAAAAAGCAACACTCTTTAGTACCACGAGCAATAGCAAGTAATATTTTGATATTCCTAGCGCCCATATCGTGAAGAAAGCGTTTGTTTATAGTTTCTTTCTGAACGGTCAAGGCTGCTCAGTTCAACATGTTCCCTCTTCTTGTCGATAGATTTCTTTGTTTCCTTAAATTAATTTCAATTGAGTATTGCCACCCCAGCCACTCAACAATCTCGCGACTGTAGTTACTTAAGCAAATTGGACAGCACTTTCATCAAGCATTACCAAATAAGCCTCGTCCTGTATCAGTTGAAAGTTGCTATGTATATCTTCACACAGCCATGATAAGGAAGGAATTCATAAAGAAATGCGGTATCATTTTGTCGCTTCTCGGTCGCACATTGTCGAACGAGAACGATAAAGTAATCGCATCTACAAGCAGCGATACAACGGCGGAGTCATCGACAACATTGCAAAATGCAATATCTATAGCAAACAAGCGACAAAATATTGCTGTCCTTTATAACAACAAAAATTGGTGGCATCAAAATGTGGACCAAGGGTAAAAATTAATGACACAACACAGAAGTAGTCTATTTCAAGGTGTCCTATTCTGAAACAACACACATCCTATTCAACTCACACCGACTTCTTCGTTTCATCGACCATTTTCTTTCCTGCTTTGGAAAAGATGGTCTTTTTGATGAAAAACCAAATTAACCACAGCAGTATGAACGCGTTTACCGGGATGAGAAGCAAGAACACTACCACCGTGCTCACGAATATGCTCGTCCATAGAAAGCGCTGCCAGCGCGGAATCAAACGGGGAGCATTGCACTTGCCAGCATCTTGTTCGGGCGCTTCGGACTGAAAACTCTTCGACTCAAATTCATATCGAAGTTTCACCTGTTCATCTGCACCACGAATTTTTACTGTTGCAACGGGATGAGGTCGACTTTCCCAATCAAATTCAATCGACCCCCAATTTAGATGACCGTAAAACGAATTCTGCGACGGGCGGAACTCCCACGGTAGCAAAAGGTTGGCGTAAGTGAACACGAGCGCCATTATGTGTTTTAGTGATGGCATGTGAAATTCCATCCAACTGTGAGTTAAGCCGCTGCTCGTGATTTCAGTGATTGTGTTTGTTCCGTTTGAACACACAACTTGGTTTATCTCAGAAAAATGCACATCGCCACTATGATGCAACAAAAATATGAGGAATGTCACTTTATTAAATTTTGTAACAAACATACCTGAGTAAAATCACGCCCTTTGCATTAGATGACAAAAGCAGCTTAAAGAATCGCTCTCTCTCATTTGGAAAGCGATCCCAACACTCAGCGATAGGATAGCGGTCTCCGGGAAGAATTTGCACCCCCGACACAATGACGTTAAAAGCTGCCGTCGATGAAATGAGCTCATTTTCGAGCCATTTCCATTGAGCTTCTCCAAGAAAATCACCGCTTTTTGTGCCATAATTATCACGATTATATCTTTGTGTGAACAGTTACAAAATTTTCGTGTCAAATTTTATCATGATGTCACATCGCAAACAAAATAAATTACCGATTGTCCACAAGGATAAATTTAACAGTTTGCTCTCCTAGCCCGATAGTGTACGATGTGTAAATACCCTGCCAAGCCATTGCAATCACAACAATCAATAATTTTTACCAAAGTGATGATTACACCAAGACATTCCCAAGACATTCCCAACCTGCTGCTGACGTCGCGACGAGTTTTTCGGTTCACCAATAAAATCTAGAAACACTTGCTGACTCTGCTCACGGTAAGAGTAAAACTTGCCGCCATCATTTATACCATAGTCATGATCGTCCCAAATACCAATGACCGGCGTACGACTAACGAAAGCTGCGTAGTCCTCATTAGCCATCAATTTGCTGCATATACAGGACAACAACATTTACTTTCCGCATCAAGCAGAGTGGAAAATCAACTTTACGTACTTGTATTTTCGGATCAACACTTCAGCTGGAGCCTCCACGAACATTTTTCGAGGAGGAATGGCAAATGGACGCGGCTCATCTAGCTCCTTCATGTCGGCGTAAATCTGCACAAACAAACGTTAATAACGTTTTCCAATTTATCATTCAAAGCGCAACTCACAATATCACCCATCCAAATCCAGAGTTGCGGCTCGTGCGCGGCAATATGAGGCCACAAAGGCTGCGGAAAGCTTTGATCATTGCATGAACCGAAAGCCACGCGCTGCAGTGGTTGCTTGAGGTCTGCAACGCTGGGCGAATTTAGCTCCGTCAGCTTCGTGGCTATGCAAAATGATGATGCAACAGCTACCGCCGCGGTTGCGTACAGAGTAGACTTCCTCTGCATTGTTAGCGTGTTGTCGAACACAAAATGAAGGCAGGTATCGAGGATGAACATACAAACGAATTTCCCTCGTTATAATGATATGGCTACACTTGACGAAAGAGCGAATTGCACAGTTACCTTGTTGACATAAACATGTCTTGGAGGTTAGGTAATCATGTTGTGTTTCGCGTACCCCACAATCACACTTTTGTTGTCGATTTGCAAATTTGAATTACAAATTAAGTACACTAAATTCAGAAAATTGAGTGAAACAAATTTAGACACGATAACGTCAGTCGATGAAGTGTGTACTTCAGGTACGCCAAACTTTTTTGACTTTTGAGATTGTTTCTCATAAGCTACTGTGAGGGGCGTAGTGAGACAAAATGCAAGAAGCAGATCTTGTAAGGAGAGCATTTTCCTGCCTCTACAGTTCAAAGTTAATCAGAAGATTGTAGACTTGTTTACGCTGATAGAACGATGCTCCGTGCGCGCGCTGTTTTATAAACAGACAACATAATCTACTTACGGAATGACTGTCAACATAGCTCTCGATCAAATATTTTAAAATATCCAGTGTTGCAGTACGTGTGGACGGCAAAACGACGTTTGACCTGTAGTCTTAATGGAATATAAATAAAACGAGGCCGCAACAAAGGTTTGCGCACAGACCGAGCGCCAGCTTCTCAGTACCTATGCCTTATAGCACCTGCCTCTGACACCGGGCTCCACAAAATACGGTTTCAAATCAATAAGTCATGTAGCTAGATTCGATTGACAACTAAACTCGGCTCAAATTTTAAGCGAGGCTCCAGCCAAACTACTCATGATATTTACGTCGCGGGGACTTCTTAAATGACAAATGCTGTATCAGCAATGGCTACAAAAGTAGATGGAATTACCTTTGCTGCTATCTCAAGTTGTGAGTGAAGCTTTATCTGTGAAACGAAACTTTAGCAATTAAATTTTACTTACGTGCCCATTTGCCAGTATCCTATTTATATCGTCTATTGTCATGCACTTCTGAGCATAATCAACTTACCTTTGCTCGCTATACTCGTGCAACGAAACCCAGAGGTAGAGGAATCATAACCAAAAACGCTGATCAGGGCTGTCTTGTCAGAATAAAATCTCAACTCGCGTAAGAATATTTACAACACTTTGCAAGATATTTCTTTGATCATGGTGACATAAAACAGGATATATGTAATTGGAGTTCACCCCCTCGCTCGTAAAGTGATGCAGGCATTACAGCAAAAATGGATATTTTTATTGTGGCGTCGCTTGCGTCCGGCCATTAGACGAACATCGTGAGCCATAAATGCCGAAAATCTCAAATATGTTCTTCGCTGGTCAGAATTACTATCTTTATGAACTTTAAGAATTGCAACAAGGTGAAGAGTTTGCGTCTAAAGGCGTAATCCGCGAATGCATCTTTCTTAAGAGACGGCAGTACTGCATTTGTAAGCAAGTTCTGCTTCCAAAAATATAATTTAAGCATTTGTTTGTTAGCTTGTACCCTCTCGTGGTCTTTGACACAGAAACGTAGCGATGGTGTGTGTAACGCGGTACGTGGTGAACGTACGCATTACACTATCGTTGATTGGACTTTCAGACTTACCTTAGTCAATTGTTACCATGATTGATGTTGACTCTGTAAAAAGGAGGTCCGTTGTGTACGTACACCTTCCACGTCTGAATTTATGCTATGACATCTATTGAAGCCAATGTTAATAACATGTGTTCTACTATGTAAAATTTAAGTAATGTGCTGCATAACTACAGACCTCTCGTTCATATTATCCTCATCAATTCCAGAACTGCTGAGTAGTATGTGAAAAGTGTCCTATGTGTTTTGCACAATTCCGTAATGTATACGTAGTTGTATACGTAGTTGTATACATTACGGAATTGTGCAAAACACATAGGACACTTTTCACATATAGTTGTACATTAAACTTCCTTATTGGCACACAATCAAAGTATGGGTCCCAGTCACAGTGGCAGACAATTTGTGAAATGCTTTGAGTTGTGGTGGGGCAAGAAAGTCTTCAGCTACTAAAAGTCCTTTTGTGATCGAAATACGTACTAGTTGATGAGACGATGGGAGAAAGTACTGTAATTTATGTAATTGATCCTTATACGCTTGGAACAATTGTACGAAATTCGCATGCAATTGAAAAATGTACCGAAATATCTATATTACGGCGATGATGTCTGGAGCTCACGTGGGCTGCGGTGGCAAATATTGGGTTACTTGGGATTGGAATATATAAGTCTTATCTGTTTCTATTTTAATGAAAAAATTGGTAGTTGAGGGTGTTATGAAGAACAGACCGATTCCAAGCCGAACGCAGGGCCATTGCGGACTTTACAATTTGTTCCCAGCCATATTATCCTAGTTCTTTTGTTCTTGTCATCATCACAGCGGCTGGTAGCCAGGTATCTGAGCGGAAATTGCCCGTCTTTGTGCACGCACTTACTGAGGAAGACTTAAATCATTTAAATCGCTTCACCGCGTGTTGATCACTTCCAGCAAGCCATTGATTTACTTGAATAAGGAGGAAAGGGAAGCGACACTTATCATGGTCTATAAGCCTTAAGCCAATCTAAACCGATAAGTAAATTCTAAACAATCAAATCAAGGGATGTACAGCTATACCTGGTCTGTACTTAATCTTTACCGACCCCTGGCTCGAGTGATTTGTAGCTTGGACTGGGACCTGGAGATACGTGGTTCGGTACCGATAAAATCCGAATCAAGGAGGCCGGAGATAGGTCAGTAAGCGGACGAGCAATCACGCCCCTGCGCTGCGTGGTGTGACTGCCCTGCCAACCCGCACTCAAATTGGTGTGTGATACTTGGGTTGGGAAGAGGCATTACTGATCGAAAAATCTATAGTGCAACGAGGGGTACGGAACCCGGTCCCAAAAGGGTAAAAAAGCTGCCAGCATCCCGCGCTAGAGAAAGCTTAGTCTTAGCGTATGGGTTCGGTAGCCTAAATCTCTATCGATAACCTTAACCGAACACAAGTACGGTTCACACAAAAAAACGTGGCCCGTTACACTACCCGCGCTCAAAAGGGAGTCTACCCATATTCTCTTCAAACTTTCTCCGACTCCGAGACTCAATTATTTGTGATCTCATACGAAATGAAACGCATCCAAGACGACTTGCACCGACGACGAGACGCGAATCTCCATCTGTAATATTGGCTCGTGGAACGTTTTCTTTTGCACAGTGTCATAAATGACAAATGAGTGTAAACCTTATTGTGTCAGTGGAGGAGGGTATATAGGATAATACTGTAATCATTGTACTTTAATTTTTCACATTTTGGACAATTGTATTATATAATCCGGCGCAATTGTACGAAACTTACTCTGCACTTTGTGTAACTGTAAGCACATAAATATCAAATAGCGAAGATGATAGAAGTGAGGGTATACATGATACGTCAGAGTAAAACAGCTTTATATATAAGAAAGATAGGGTTAGTCTAGGTAGCATCACTCCTTAATAACTTTTGGAATAGAAGAGCGCGTCTGACACCTAGCTACGGCAAAGAGCTCCGGCTCGCACTAGTAGAAGCACACGAACCTAACCTCAGTGCATTTCATGATGCGATCTTTTAGCGTTAAAGCTTCGTCTCAACAAAGTGCGAAACAACCCCGTTCGTTGCAAAACCGTCCACTCCAATAAAGGCACGGGTGTAAGATTATACGCTTCACCGAGAAGCGCGGCCGGAGTCCTTGACAGTAACTAGTCACTTTGTTAATATTGTATTCCAAACATGGGATTAGTTTTACCTCAATTAAAACTAAACATACAAATATACTACATTTAAGAGTACAACCCCCTCTTGACCTGGAGTTACAAGCCTACATGTATAACGGACCAATTCTTTACAGCGTCCCACCATCTTTATCGATTCAACACTTCAGAGTACTACAATTACGCAAAAGAGTAGTGTGATTTTTGTACGTTGATATAAAATGGAAATGTGCAATCATACGAAAGTGTTATGTGTCATATACACAAAGGTATCAGAACATACCCCGCGTGTCACGGGGTTTCAAGTGTGATGGTATGCAGGGTGTGGCACACAAGAAGGTATCACCACATAATGGTGTGACTACACTTAACAAGAAGTCAGTACGTGGCTGGACTGCCGGTAGCTATACATTTAATCAGGTGTTACTATACAGGAAAAAAACTATAAATTTAGATATAGGCGGCTTTGCTGCAAATAAAACCAAGAAATACAGCTTACTTTTTGATCGGAAAAGTTAATGAGCCTTGGTTCAATGTTGTAATTACTCATGGAGTGAGTGGATGCAATCCGCTGGTTCTAAGTATAGAACGAAGGTCACCGCCGACCTTAACCAATCTTCCTCTAAGCGAAAGAACTACGGCAGCCCCGCTGCACCGCGACAGTGTAAGTCACTACATACCTAATAACAGCAATCCAGATTTGGGGAACTTTTAGTTTTGCTTATGAATAGAGCGTACAAATCTAATCTCTTTGCATTTGCTTAAGCGGAATCTTTGTGTCGAACCTGTATCTTTGCAGGGAGCACTGCAACCCACAGGCAGTCCCGCCACTTACTGGCTTCTTGTTACGGTGTAGCCACACCATTGTTTGACTACACCGTCTTGTGTAATCCACACCATTTTACGGTCACATCATATCGTGTGACCCACCCTTCCATAATAGGGTATGTGTAACCCCGTTACAATGTCTCTCCTTTGAGAGCTAGCTTTTTATGGATCAAGCTTTCTTGGGGTAAAAAAAATAAGTTCTTTCTCCTTATGCAACCTAGCGCCCACAGGAAGTTGACATTACTCCCGCAATGGGCAAGTCGTTTGCCTTTCCGTGCCACCTGAACATCCGTACCCCTCATTCGAGAGCGATAATGGCACGCAACATGCAGACCGATTGTATTACTGCAGATATTTCATCTGTGGGTATTGTGGAGCTGCTTAGCAGGTAATATATATATATATTTTTTCATCAGAATGGCCGAGATTACCCCTCTGGCACGCTCGTAGTTATTTTATTCCCAGCACCCCATTCTGACCTCGGGACACGAAAGCTGTACTCCGTATTAAATACCACACCGGTGGATGTGGCAGGTGTCGTTATGCGCCGTTCCGCCCATTTCAGATAGTAATCATTACCGCCCTCGGGGGAGGATCAGACGCTATGACAGCAATAAGAGTTATAAACTCCTGGGAATAATTCGCCACTTCTCGCCTCCCTTGACGGGTATACAAGAGCTTCGAACACACCAGATATGGTTTCAAACACCCGCAAAATATGTCGCGCAGAGATGTCCCACGGTGGAAATGCTTCTCATGCATTAAAATTCTGAACGCAATTGCGCTTGATAGCGCTTGGCCTCATAGCTTGAAAGAAGCAAGCGCGACACACTGTGGCTTGTTTGGAGCAAAGCCAAATCCATTGCTACCTCGACTTTCATCATACAGAGAGGATATTTTTCTTCCTCCCGGCATGGGCCTCATTACTCAACATAAGCGGTCTCTCAGTGCGAGCCATCAGTTCCTCCACCGGCGATCGGTTGAGATGCTCCTGAGGTGCCTCACCAGCGCATCCTAAGGGTTGGTTTGCGCGTCCAGACAAGCTGCTATCTCTTTCTACTTTTCGCCGCCTGATCCCATCGGAACTAAAGGTAGACAAAGTTTGATAAGCCGTTTTATGGCCCCGGGGACAGGTATTCGGACATTTTCATTCAATCCTCGCAGAGAGTACAGTCCTTCCACAACTCGGTCGTAAAATTGACAACATGTGCTATCAAGTGTAACAGGGCTGCCGTGCACTCTACACATAGGGAGCTTTGACTTTCAGTCTGTTCTCACAAACGCAAAGAGGTTGACTTTAAGCGCTTCAACCAGAAGTGGAACTGAGCATCGTGCACCGAAAATAATACTGTCAGGTCGCTTTGCTTCATAATATTTCTATTCGTTTGTTTATAATATCTACTATATTTTCTAACGTCCCTTCATACACCAAGTGTCATGTGAATTTTGTACAATTGTACCAAACATGTCAGGGTTTAGTACAAAAGGTTACATTTTGCTGCTTTTCTTTAAATACAAAAATTTATCTTTCAGATCGACTACCTTGAACAGGCACTCGAGCTCGTTTTCCAATTTCGTGGTCATGAAGATTTTGCTAGCAGTTTTAGTGCCGTACTCGCAAGTAGAGGCTCAAGTAAAATTTCCTACGCAATTTTTTGTCTCCAGTCGCGACAATAATTCCGAAGCTTTGTGGAATGGCGTATGCAATGCCTCGACTGAGTTTTACGATCAATCAGCGCTCAAGTGCAGTCGGTGTGTCATTGCAAACGGAGCATTGCCAATTTCTAATGCTTGGCTGGTAATAATGTTGAAATACTTTCTGTTTTTATTAATGTGTAAGTGCGACTATTTAACCAGATTCCGGATTACAAAAATGCACAAATCTGCACTTGCAAGTAAGAGAATGACTAGATGAAGTGCGGTCTTTATGCTGCTCACGCATTAAGTGCCTTAGTCAGGACGCAATTCAAACAAATCGCAAGGATTCCACGTGTGAAATAATCTGGCCTATGCCATGCAGCCTAGAAGTGTGTACTTCATGTCCTACTGACCAAGTCCCGTCGCGGGATTCCTCCCGATGTATGGCATGCGGTGATTCGACACTTGGTCAACAAAAATTGACTCGTGAGTGTAAATGTGCTGCTAATTCTATTGTGCGAGAGAAAAATGAGGTAAGACTAAAAACAAGCATTTTTACATACAAATTTATGGATATGATATGTCTCTCTCGTGGCGTAGAGTGGCAGCTTTCTCGGCGTTAAAGAGTGTGTTGCTTGCACGGGCAATACAGTCGCTGATAAATTAACTAACACCTGCATAGCATGCCCTGATCCATTGATGGTTGTGGGTGGTGATGACCACGTTTGTGCATGTCCAGACAACTATCAACTCGTTACGAGTAGCTTCATGAATGTCAAAAAATGCGTTGGCAATTCGCACATCAGCTTGCTGAGCTCTAAGGTCGCCATGACAAACGCCAATAAGATGATCTACTCTTCCTTTATAGAAGAGGAAGCTGGAAACTCAGTTTCCGTCGCAAGCGCTTTTCTTGAAGATATGTTTTTATGTGCCACCACTGGATGTTACTATTATCAAAGCGAGAAGGACATTATTTCGTGCCAAGCTTTGGGAAATCTCTGTGTTCTACAGCATTTTGACCCGAATGCACCGTCTTGTTCGGCATTTGACCTAATTCGGCTAAGTGGCCGATCGCCTTCAGACAACAACATCAAAGGGTGGTATGCAACATTGCCATTTCTACATTTCTCGTCAGAAGCATTCAGCGCGATTCAGAGTTCTGTTGCGATGAAGGTAATTGACTTCGCTTTGTTACAACCAGTGTGATAACAGCTAATATTTACTCTAGTAGATGACCTTTGATGCAGAATCGAACAAAGGCAGCTTTGAACACCTTGACTTTATTTTGGCCAGCTACAATCATAGCGGTACACTGATTGGCTTCAAGGCGCTCGTAAATGAGCTTACGTATTGTCAAGTGGACAGCAGCACAAATGTGGCTATCTCACCTTCGTGGATGCGATTCGGTGTGAGTGCTCAGTTCGAATATTCGTGTAACCTTAAGTCTTTACAGACCGCATCAGTCACCTTTTATGAGCTTTTCTTAGTCGATTTAACAAAAGGTCATCTCGAAAACGGCAGATACATCCCGATTCCCGTTAAAAATTTGAACTATCGAGACGCAAGTGGAATGCTTGTCAATCAGGATAGCGACGCCGCAAATGATTTTCTAAGTCACCGCTTCTTTCTGTTTGACTTGGTATCTGGAATTGCTTTAAATGAAGATTCCCCTGACGTGATTCGATACGTCAAAGACATAACGTTAACTATTAGATCAGCGTCTGATCCTCACTTTATAGAGGTTCCACAACTTTCGATTGCATATGTCGACACTGTTAGCCTCGAAACTGTTCCTGTCTCTTTTCGCGTCGTCTACACTTCGAGCACAGATGAGCTGTGGGCTTTTGCAAAAGTAATTTTTACTGTTGGGTGCGTTTTTGCAGGACTCCGAATGATTGTTCAGACATTTAAGTGGTACCGCCGTAGCATTGGTAACGAAGTCGTGGAGAATGCAATGTATCAGATTCTATTAGGTGTGCTCAACTATGCTATAGCCAATGTTGCCCCAGTGTCATTCGCAATCATGATTGTGCTTTGCGGCTATATCTTCACAGTTTTTAGACTCCAGTCCAGCACTATTCTCATGCTTCCAAACAATGATTTTACGTTTGGTAAGGGAATTGATGAGTACTACTCATTTCGAATCCTACTTCTGCTTGCTTTCTTCTGTCAACTAGTTTCTGTGTTTCGTTATGTATATCGTCAAGCTCAGGTCCGACTTTTTTTTATTGATTGGGAGAAACCTCGCACTTCCGTCATGGATATTGATACCGCGAAACCAATTTATGCACCAATTAGCGTATGGCGCATGATTTTGGTCGCTAATGAGTGGAACAAGATGCAGACTATTCGGAAAACGTCATTGCGCTTCACGCTTTTGTGTATACTTTTTCTACTTTATGGATGCAATTTAAAAATTCTTGCACTCCCAATCCCAAAACGACATATGCAACATGCTGCCTTTGTAGATGCAGCCGAGGAACACTTGAATCCATACTTGCGATTCGCAAATGTCACAATTTGGTGGCTGCTTATCTCCATGTGCCAACGATTGTGGAAATGGATGATATTTGAGCGATATATCGAAGAACCACGAGAGCAGCTCTTCATCGACCTGTGCACGATCTCAAAAATAAGTCTTATATTTCTTGACGAAACGTACCATGGCTTTTACCTCCATTGTCGGTCACCACATGCATTCGCTGATGGAAGCATGGGGGAGCTCGTGGATCAACTCAAACAGGAAGAAGCTGGACTTACAGCTGGTCGGTATCTCGATTCAGCATTTCCCGAGTGCCAAGCTTTTGAAATGTTTGTCACGCGAAAATGGACACGCAAGTTTCATACTTTGATCTCGTTAGTGCGTGGCGATAATTTCTTAGCTGGACATGGTGGTAGCGGCGAACGGTTAATTCAGAGGTCTTTTTCTCCAAAAAGACCCGACTCTCGAAGTACAGCTTTGGGGCGCAAAATTGATACGGTGACAACAGACATGGTGCGAAATGTAGAGCAGCTTCGAAATTTTCTACAATCTTTTGTTGAAAACCAGAATGATCGGTTTCGCTGGAGAATTTACCGTGCTCACACATGCCTCACACGATTTCTTGACATCCCACCTGATATGTCGTTTTCTAAACAGTCTTTTTTCTTGCCAGGTAAGACTAAGATGCGTGCATAGATTTTGATATTGAATCAGCAATCTGCTTACATAAATACAATAACAGACATGGATTCTAAATTCGCTACAGCTTCGCTCCTTTTGGGAATTGAAAATGATCTCATGCTGATGGATCTGCTGGTACAAATGTAACTTCCCGTAAATGTCAGTCAAAGTCCGGAGCTGACGTTGTATTTTGTATTCTGTCAATGAAGTGCTTCTGCCAATGTGATTTATGGTTCGATAACCACGCGATCTCTGCGTTAGTGACCTATGCACTTCAACATATTCTGCTTTTCATGCGGGCGCATTTTAGCAGGCGCAACATCGCAAAGAGCTCACTAGTAGACTCACGCTTTTTAATATAGACTAAGTATCGCCGTCACTGAAGATTTTTCCAAAATTCCGAATCATCGTGTTCGTTTCGTTAAGCAACAACTTCATATTGCTATCTGCATACGTCGAGCCCAGTCAAGCTCGCTGCTGTCTTCCGAAATCACCGACGACCAGCGTAATGCTGCAAATTTCGATGGCAGCGCCTCGTTTGTGTGGGAAGCATCGAACTGTTCTTGGCACGACCCAGCACTTGCTCCGTCTTGCTTGACGTCTGTGTCAACTGTACACAAACGCGGAACGCACACGTTGATGAGATACATGCACAGCGCAGGTTCATCAACCTTTTCTATTGTGATTTCTTTTGGACGTGCATCGCAACATGAATACAAGACAATAGTACTGCGCATTTCACCATTTTCATCGCAGTGTTGACCTCCTGAATAGTACTGGAGTACCTCCTTGTCAGCCATGTCTTGTGAATTCTGTGAGTACTTCCCCATGCTCCAGTCACTCGGACGGGATCCGTCCGGTTCTTGGTGAAATTGGCGAACTTCTTTTTTGTAGCAGATCTCGTACGTCCACCAACCAAATGTTGCAAGAACACAGCGGCCTTCTAGCTCTTCATGCACAATCTCACCCTGATTTTCCAGCGCCATGGAAGTAGATGACAATTCCTCCGTAGATTTGACAGCACGATGGTCCTCCCATTCTCGCGACTCAAGGCACTGCCGAAACTCATCATGATAAAACACCCAACTACATAATTACATTAATGAGTGGTGAGAGTGGTTCTAATCTACCTTACGCATCAAAAAATAGACCGACCCCACATGCTTCTTGCAATTCTTGCAGCGAAGGTCCCGCCAGCTGTAGTCGTCGAAAAATGTCGACTTCTTGGAGTATGTCTCACCCTCAAGCCCAACAGCCTTTTTAAAGCCTACCAGCTCAAATTCAGTCTGTACCCAACGTATATCAATCTTATAATTCATTTGCTCATCACTCAAAGCTCAAGCATAGATAGATACTCACCCTTTGTGAGTTCACGAAGGTATAGACATCGGCGTTGTCTCCGAGCACAGCATCGTGTCGGCTATCGACGGCTTTCGAGGTGTCGTGCAAGGCGATGTAGTCCCTAAAAATTTCGCAAAGAATTAGTAAAAGCAAAGAAACGGCTACACGCGCAATGCGCACTTCTTCATGGCCACAAGAGCGCCGCACGCACGACAGCGCACCATGAGACCATCGCTTTCCAGCTCGTGGCCATGGTGACTGTGATCCTCTAATTCTAGCTCCTGCAAGTCTTCTGTAGCGAGCGCTTTAATTGCCGCGAAGGCCGCGCAGGCCAGCACCAGCACAAAAGCTCGCGGTATACGTGGCATCAGGAAAACATTGCGATGCACTTGACCGTGAGTCATATTGTTGATTATTGGACCTGCACAGTAACTTAACAACTACCGTAGACTATACAACTTCAAAAACTTCAAAAATCGTGGTACTAGTATAAAAACATACATTATAGACCATATATCAAAATACAAACATGTTAATAATAAGGGAAAATAAAAAAAGTCTACAAATAAACAGAAAAATAAAAACATTATATTCTTACACTGTTGTTGACATCACAAGTATGTAAACAATCTTACCTATATACATATGTATACTCAAGGAAGTATACACCTGGTCCATTTCTTTTCTGGTCTATTGTTTTATTTTCTTTAGATTTTGTACAAAAAAAAGCAGAAAGGATGTATACCATAATTATTATTAATCCCGAATACATGAATTCTTGAAGCTCAATCGATAACTAGTTGTGTTAGCGGTTCCCGCTTTGCTTCTAGTCGGAGCGCACGAACCCAAATTTCTGTGCGCCTGTTAACGCTAACTGTCCGTGTGACGGGTCACACGGCACCTTGCACAGAGGAAGGTTGACTTCCAAGAGTATACA